CCAACAGAGGAATTTTTACAACAGACTTTATACGGACGGACATTCTTAAATCGATTCAAAATTTGACGTGATGTGGATTTTCTGAAGTGTCCTTCTAGGCGTTGCAAACGTTTTGACAAAATGAATAGAGCCCTCGTTCTCCGGTGATGGGTATAAAAAGTAATCAAGACCATTGTTATATACAAATTTTTAAAGGCTCCTATATATCTGGTCCCTTATAGCAACACAAGTATTTTGAAAAGTTTTCTTTTGACTAAGATATTATATTAAAAGTATTTATCGTCGTTAACCGCTACACATTACTATATTTGACTTCTCGCTAGAAGAAAGACTTCTTAATGATTTTCACGGATCGAATCGCCTTTTAATATCCTTAGAAGAATTAAAAGTGCTACTTAGAGGGGCAATAAGTCATCAATCGAAACATAGGGCAATCATCGGTTGGAATATCTGAGAAATAATTCGTTTATAGTAAAGTATTCCGCCCTAGTTCTTTTAACACTTCCTGCACGAATTTTGCTATAAGGGAGTCGCCATTCTGAACAAATTATCCTGTAATACCTTTGGCACAACTGCCGCTCTTAGTTTGAAGTATTACGTTTTAGCGATGATATTAGTGGTTCCCTTAGCATGCGAAGAGACGATCTTCAGGTATTCCATCATTTGCGTTTCTCATCACAAATTTGATTTCGTTGACACTAAACAAGCAACAAAACATTTTCTTATTTTTATTTCAAAGGTATAATTTACGCAGTTGCGTAAAGCTAAAAGAAAGGAAGAATTAACCAAGACTGTTTTTGCCTTGCCTTCAAAAGCGTTTAAAACACATACACATGAACCTACCATTTATACCAAATTTCAAATGAATATGGGTTACGGTAGCGGTAAATTGCAATTTTTTCGCTATTGTCCTTATGAGGAAGAATCAGATCAATTATTAAATTAGCCTAAATTCGTCATCCTCTAAGAAACATATGTACAAAGCCTCACGTTGAAGAGCAAAAGTGACAGAAAGCGTATACATAAGAGCATAGTTAACGCGACATGAAACTTTTCGCCGTCGAAAAATATTTTTCATAATTTTTTCATGGTCCTTATAGCTCGCTCAACCATTCTTTAGAACTTTCGCAGAGGCTATATCGAATTTCTCATAAATTATACATAGGACTGTTCGTAAACAGACCCGCCTTAAAAAAAAAACAATGCATGCTCAAATGGGGATTTTCGATGGCCTTGTGCGACTTCTAGTATTTAGCGGCGATCGTCCGCCAAAACAAAAATGTATTCTCTAACGGACATGTTTGATGGCCTTGTGCGATTTGTGCTATTTAGTGGCGATCGTCCGCCAAGAACTCCTTTGTACGTTTCTTAAAATATGTTTGAAAATTAAACTTAAAATTACTTTTATTTAGCAAGTTTTACAATACAATAGCCAAACTTAGTAAGATGTTTAAATAACACTCAAGAAATTTGGCGGGGTGGATGAAAGCACATGTTGTTTAGCGTTACCTTAAGCTTGACTAACAATTTACTAACTGCTGTATTCTATGTCTGGTTATGCGAATTCGCAGCTGTTTTTGGCTCGCTCAGCTCATCCTGTTATTGCCTTTTAAGGAACGTAAATGGTTCATTTTTCATAACACGTCATTATTATCCGTTTGATGAATATGTCGTCTCCCCTACCTTTAAATATTAATAACAACTTAAAACGTCTGGGACATTCTACTTTTTCATAAATGATAATTTTGCAATCAAAGACCGACAATCTTGCTTTTCGGAGATTTACTGCGTTCAGAATAAGACTGCTTTCCGGAAAATGTTTTCCGTTGCTTGAAGAAAATGCTCTCTGCTAGTAACAGAAACCAATCAAATTTTAAACCTGCACTTTTCTTTCTTCGTCTCTACGCTTGTGTAAATACTGGCGAAGACAATATTTTTCGGCAAAAGTTTGATATTAATTTGTAATGAATAATGAAATCACAGTATATATTGAAAGGAAAAGCTTTTCACAAAGAACCGGCGTTGAATTTCCGGATAATAAATTCCCGATAACGCATTTAAAAGCTTATTGACGTTTAGTAAATGGACTATAAAAAATTATTAATTGATTATGCGAAACACCGTCTTCATCTAAACCTGTCAAAAAGAATCCTCATCAAAAGAATCACTTATTAAAATTCACCGAAAACTAAGTCATTTCATCACAATTCACAGAAAACTAAGAGATTTTTATATAAAACACAATTCGGTTTCCATTTCACATTAAAAGAAAACGAGGTGAATTTAAAAAGTTTGTCTTAACTATGTTTTAAAGATAATCATGTCATCTGGTTAGCAGACATTTTCAGTATGCTGTTCACACCAAATTTTATTTGTGCACTTTTCCTAATTGTATTCTGTACGCAAAGAATTGAACATTTATCGTTGAACTTTATATCAAGAATTTACTTTTACGCGAATGTGCATACAGCTACCGAAGCATGTATCGTCATTTTAGCCAGTAAATTCGATATTCTTTATTTTATTATTCGACGTGAAGTTGGAATTTTTCACTTAAACGTACCGAAGTGCTGAAATGCAGTACTACGTCCTTGCCCGATATTTACTTGCAATGTCATCAAACAAACTGTACATGATCTAGGTGATAAAAATTTTATTACGAAACTCTGACACAACTCAGTCTTTAACACGACTGTTGATATCAAATCCAGAAATATAAGATGCACAGAAGTCCGTTCTCATTGGTGTATTGACCCTTAAGCAAGTGCGGAAATCATCCATTTTGTTTTTCAATATTCGCGTTCTGTATAGGTTTAATAATCGTTAAAATTACCCTCAGAATCGAACAGTTGAACGTCTTGTGGAAATCGGGATCGGTGTAAACACTTTTTATTTTTACTGTTCGCCTATAAATTAGGCCACAAAGTGTAAAGAGTAAAGCAGAATGTTGTGCTTGCACGCGAAACTATTGCCAATGGCCGTAGTTTATCAATTGAAGATTTTTTCAGGCCGGCGACTCCTTTGCAATCATTTTTTTGATCATCTCTCAAGAGATGGTGGGAACTCAACGAAAGAGTCGAATTACTGAAACCGCTGTTTCGCGCCCTCGTGCAGAAAAAATTGGAAAGACTGCATTTATCGCTCCATTTAACCAATGTTCTCATTACAAATTGTGGGAATTATTAAAAATATATATATGGATAAAAACAAGCGAAAAGGCCACAACAGATCACATTGCCTCATTAAGTACTTTAGACCATCCTATAGATATTCATGTAATGACTTTTCAAAATATGACGTCATATAGGAAGTGGTCGAAAAAGTGGTCTAATCCGAGTCATTTCTAATAGCATTCGTCCTTGAACCAAAACGTCTCTATGTAGGCAATTTCTTCAAAATATCTCAACAATTGGAGCCTGGGTTGAACACAATGAAACAAAGGGATAGAGAAGATTTAATTTTAACGTTAATCTTCAGAAGTCAAATGAACAAAGTGGAATTCGTTAGGAATCCTTTTTACGACGCCAAGTGCCGTAGACGAAAAGAAAAATTGTCCAAACTACCGAACTTAAAGTAAATTTACAACTGAAAATTTGGCTTTGCGACTTATATTTTACTTTACTACTTTTCATGGTATGCTCTGTACGCGCATTGAAGCTCTGAAGCGCTGAGAACCTTGCTTTTGATTGTACTATAATGCTTACGCTAAGCATCGAAAGGTGCGTCTTTGCTGCTTTTGTTATTGTTTTTGCAACATCTAGAAACGCGTATCAATAATCCCTTAGAGTACGTAAAGTTTTATCAGCCATGGGATAGCGAATCGATTTAAATTTGTTCGTCAGTTGATCTATTTCTTGTTAGAAGCATTAACCTTGTCAAAACGGACACAGCGATATATATATATGTATATTTTGAACGTAAGTGCTTCTTTTATTTTATTTGCTACGGCTAAAAACGCACGTCGGCGACCTCTTCAAACATACGAAGTTTTGTCAGCAATGTATGACGAATCGATGTGAGTTTGCCCGTCAGTCGATCTAGAACGGGTTAGCGATATATATATATATGTTGCTTCGAAAATTTGAAAGTAGGTGCACTCGGTGTGTAGAGATGCGTGCGTTTTGTACCTCCAAAAATAACTTAGACAATCACTTCTAATCTATAAAAGATATCGTTGTAAATTTTTACAAATGCTTAGCAAAGACGTTTGGGCTGTCGCGCTGCTATTAAAAACAACAACAACAATTGTAAGTGCACTTCAATGCACTTCAATGGAATCAAATTTTTGCTACGCTCTTGGTCGTAAATACCAAAAAAGTGACTTTTAAACTTGGAGAATAAGCTCAACGGCAAAGTTGCATTGGTCAACATCACAATTTTAATCATAGGCTATTGTTGCATTTTTAATTATTGAAGGCCGCTGGTCAGCGTAGAGTATGTCCAAATGTCGGCATTGAAACGAGTATGACTTTTATGCTAATATTTTTTATTTTTCTTAATGTTTTTCTCGATTATATTTGATTGATTTTAAATTGCTTTATAAAAAATATTCAAGCTTTGCAAACCTTGCTTGTAACATCTTTGGCTGTTGAATATGAACTGAAATTGAAAATCATTGAATACCGACCGCATTAGGGCGAAAATATTTTATATGAAACATGCGCGCTACAGCTATGCAGTTATATTTTCTCCTCAGATTTTGGCGCCAAAAATCATTTCAGAGCTACAAGTTTGTTTATTTTTCGTCAACATTACATACCACGTGCGCTCCTGCTCGCTCAATCACATTACAATAACTAAATTTTATATGTATATGTGTATATGTAGTTATTTTGGTTTAATTGGATCAACACCACGTGCTGTTGCTGTTTGATGGAGGAGAGTATAGTAGGATAGGACCAGATTGTGTGTTATTTTGGTTGTTGTTGCTGTTGTTTTGTTTTAAGGATTGTATCTCTCGTAAGCAAACACCCACCCATTCGTTTATTATGTGTACAGTCAAGAATACATTATGTACATGTACGTGTATGTATTTAGTTTTATTGTGTTGTGATTTTTTTTATTATTTTATTTTGTTTTTGCTGCTGTTGTTTCTTTCCATGCTGCGAAATACATACATTGCTTTTGCAAGAGGGCTGGTTGTTTCTCTCTGATGTTGTTTGGTAGTGTAGGAAAACTGTATCTTTGGCATTGTGTAGCTATGTAAATTGTCAGTATTGGTGTTGTTGTTTTTCTTTCTATTATTATTATTTTGTTTTTGTTTTTTTTTTGTTTTTTTTTTTTTTTGGGTGATATATACAATTGTATGTTGTTTTCATACACAGTTTATTTGTACGCTGTATATAACAACGGGTTCAGCCTTCTTGTAAATTTAACATTTTGCTGCTGTTCTTCTTGCTTTTTGGAGGTCTGACCAGCGTGTGGTATTTTATAAATTGGCATTTCATCGTACGACAGCTCCCAAATCGGTTGTTATTATCAACAACGGTTCAGGGTTTATTAACAGTATAATAACAGTGCGAGCACAGTTACTATTAGTGTAGTGTTGTTGTGTATGTAACATGTGCGGTTATTGTATCATTATTTAAAATCCGTTGGGAAAAATAAAAAAATGATTTTTCTCTTCCGGCATATTTCTATTTCAAAGATTACTGCTGCTGTTTCTGTTGTCATCGTCAACGTTACACGTTATCATTAGGCCGGAAACGGAAACGGTTTTCGTTACTAGAGGCGCGTTTTGATATAATCGCCTTTGACACCATAACAAACCATCAACCATTACCACGCGCCATCAACAACAACCTAAATTGAGTTAACAACACGCACGGCTACCCTTATAGAAAACGATGAAGTAAAAAAAAAAAGGAAAAAAAAAACAAGCAAAAAAAAAGTGTGAACATTTAAACGATGTGTGATTTTATCGTTGAAACTAATACACCGGCAATGTAACGACTGGCTGCTTCATCGTTTCTTTCACTAACTGCCTGCCTGCCTGACAGGCTGGTTGGTTTGTTTGGTTGGCTGGTTAACTGGTTAACGGTCACTTAAGTGACTGTTAATTTTTGGTGTGTTATTGTTATTATTATTATTATTAAATGACTACTTTACAAAAGTTAATTTCGTGAACAACAAATCATAAAATGATTTGTTTTCTGCTTGTGTGCGTATTTATTGTGTACAACACTAGCGCTAACAACAATTGACTAAATTGACTGCATAATGAATTTATAAAATAATTTTGATAATTAATTATTAGGTATTGTGATAATTTTGTGTTATTGAGCACTTATAATGTTAGAAGTAGGGACGGCAGTAGTAGTAGTAGTAATAGTAGTAGTTCGATACGACATGATAGGAGGTGTTTATTTATTATAAGCAATAAAATTGCTTTAATAGACTGATTGAACTGCATAACTGTAAGTTATGAACAGAAACTTGAATTTGTCTTAAAAAAAAAAAAAAAAAGAAACTGTGATAGGAACTATAAGACAGTGCGCTTGTATTTAAAAAAACGTTTTAAAAACATTTAAAAAAAAAACGAAAACAATCGAAAACCTACTGGGGGTAATAAGTGTTATATATAAAAGCAGGTAAGATATCAATAATATATATATATGTATGTATAAATAACGTTGAGAGAAGAAAAATCGTTTACGTTCGCTTCTATACTTGCTACACTCGCTATAATAATATGAAAATGTTCGTAATTGCAAGCCCGTCGATCAGTGCTTCAGTTATTACAAAATCGACTTTTCTCCCATAATAAACACCCTTTAGAAAAGTTCATAAAAAAACCGCGTAAAAATAGTTTTGAATGGGCATTAAGAGTGAGCAGAGAATACATAAACCAAATTTGAAGACTTCTTAAGAGTGTTTTCATATTGTTATTAAAACACGATGAGGAGTTGTGACCTATCTTTCCTTTAACCGCCTGTTAAAAAAACCAACCAAAATTTTCACCTTTTGTGCCAGACTATCCTTCGCAGTCGCAATTAAATATGGGAAAATTCGCATCCGTTCAACATTGATGAATATCGGAGATATAAGTTCTTAAAAGATCGTTCAAAGAATTTTTTTGCTCGATTTTTTTTTTTAAGTACCGAGCGGAATTAAGGTCATATCAAAAATTAGGGAGCATGAATAAGACCCTTTCCTTTAAAATTCTGATTTTATTTAAAATAGTCTCAGATTTTCAGCTGCTGCAAGTGTATTTGTATGGCGATTACAAACATTCTCGTAGCTTAAATTGTTCTCTCGAGCAAGGATATATATATTTTATGAAAATCATGTATAAACAGAGATCTTGGATAAATCTAAAACGCCAAACTGATAAGCTGTTCTTTGCTTGCATTTGCGAGTTTTTCTTCAAAGTATAGAATACACCGTGTGTTAATGAATCAGTAATAGTTTTTGCAAAGCTCATATGTTATAATTTTCCTTAGAAATTTTTTTTGTGATCATACTTTCATCATCAATCGTACAGCTCATTTAATAAACAAAAACGTGCAGTATGCAGAAGGAAAAAAAACGTTACTATGATTTGTATTGCGTTATGCTGCTAAGCTTTTTAAAGGCGAGTCTGATTGAATGCATTGAATGGAAATACCAACATTTTCAAAAAAAGCTGTACTAAGCTATCCAAAGCTGTGTAACGTGACAACCTCAGATATAACATCGAAAGTAAAGATAAACATACCGTTAGTATCTTATAATTCAAGGTCTGAGTTCATTCATAGCGACACGAAAACCTTGAATAACCTTTTCGGTTAGAATTGTTTCAAAAATTTCAATTCTCTTACAACTAAACGCAACTAATCATTTTAACGGAAAAGATAGGTAGTGTGAAATTTTTTTTAAAATACCTCTGATCGGATTAAATTGGAATATCAACATTTAAGACAACCCTGAATTGGTTCTTAGAAGGAAAGCGGTGGCTCCGAGATTTTTTCTTGAAATGATATCCGATGGTTTAAATTGTTTATTTTTATTTGGGATTTATTTAAAATGTTAATTTCGTCTTTCTCGCAACTATTGTTTTCGACCGGACCGTATTTCAGTTCCCAATGGTTTTCAGGCGCGACTACTTCAATTCAGAAAGTTAAATCAATCTTGAGCAGGTATATTTTAACGTGATCTCCGACGTACTACAAACCGTTTGTGCGACAAACGTAATGACGATGATAGGCTTAAAAATAATAGTCACACAAAATTAATATAAGGATTCTCACCTCTCGTGCAAATTCGTACAATTTCATTTAATAAAATAATCTTTCGACGATTTCCTTTCCTAGGATTTGATTTCAATGTATGTGCATTCTGTCTTAAATTTGTATTCATTTGGCTTTTTCATAAATGAGAAAAATCCTTAATTATGTTTTAAAACTTTTGCTATAAAAATCCTCTTATGTACATCTGGCTATTCTAAGGGTGTGCAGTATAAAAATTTTAATTAAATTTAAAACACTTTGATAAGCACTTTTTCTTCTGCTTTCTTCTGCTTTTTTTTTTTTTTTTTTTTTTTTTTCTTTACACACTGTGACATTTGTCTCCTGAAGATGACTGATAAAAATGCCAGACTTCTCTCATTTGTGTAACTAACTGCACACCGTTTATGCGCCTTCCGATTTATTCATCTATTTATCTATTTGTACTCACTTCTGACACAATTACAAACAATTCTTTCCTAAAATATTTGTCAATTTATGACAACAAATTTTCATTTTTCATTATTGAGTCTTATGACAGCTTAGCAAAAACAGACGATATTGAAGAACGCCATCTCTATCACGGCTACCATTCGATAATAATAAGTATTTATGGTGCGAATAACAATGAACGTCAAATTATGACAATGGAGTGAGACTGAATGTGTTGTTGTTGCTGTTTTGATATTCCAAGAGAAAAACAATTGAAATTATTAACGGTAGAAAATCTTAATTTATATATATTGCTTTAAATAAGACAATAATAATATTAGTGATGTCTCCCCCACCAGGAGTAAAGACTCTTTCCGGTATGTAGCTTGGAATAAATAAAAAGTGTGCAAATTTTTCTTTTGATAGTTAAGTAAAACGGAATACGATAAATCGTCTCTAACTAATTTTCCACTCCTTCAATTATCGTTCTGTCAGAGCTCGAAACCAGTCAATTTACTATGACAATTGTCTAATTTAAATAATATGCAGATTTGTTATATACCCGTAAGTGTGCCTTAGCTTCAATGATTTCACCAAACCTCGACACTTTTTAATATATCACACCGTTCCAACTCATGCAGCTGTGTTTTCTTTCCGAAGTAACATTGTCTTGCAGAAAATCTTGGCATGGACCTATCGTTGATTTTGGCCATTGAAATTCTCAATACAAAGACATTCATACCATTATTACGGTAATTGCAGAAATTATTTTAATTATGTAAGTTAATCGATCGATGCAAATCAGTTCACACCTTCGCAACTTTAGTAGTACCCCGTTAATATTTGTAATTCCGATTTGATTGAAACTTCACATCATTACAGAAAAATATGCAATCGATCAGAAATAAAACTCGTGTACACAACTAGTCACGAAATTTCTAAAGTATCTCAATACTCTCTCTACAATAAAGCTTCATTATAAGTTCTAGTCGCAAAATGTACAATAAGTTAGTAACATGATGGTTTAAAAATTCTTTTAGCCATGTTTAATCCCCCTTCACCTTCTATATAAAGAAATCCTTTACTTATTCGCGTGAGTAACTGCATAGCTTAGAATCGCGCTTACCTAGTCCGTGTTCGCGGGTTCGAATATCAATGTTCATTGTGATCGCAGCTATAACGAGTGCTCAGTCGGGAAAGACATAACGCTTGCGAATTGGACGTACATCAGCCGCCTACCTATCTCTTTCTCTTTCTTCACTTCTTTCGCGTCAGAGTGTTACACGGTACATAACCTGAGTGATTGGACGTGCAATAAAAAAAAATATCATCGCCTTTAAATTGTAATCCTTCAAATATTTTGACACAATACGCATTTAAAAGCGACTGACGACTTCTAACATCGCCTTAAATACTCCCTTACAAACTTTCTATTGTGATGGGGGAACCAAACTTATCTAGGGGAATCGCATGGTGCTTTTCAGCTACTCTTTAAGCTACTTAGTTCTTTTTTTATCTTTACTCACTTTTATTTGCTTGCAGGAGTAGAAAAGTTAAACGGAATGGCAACACGGACGGACGAGACTAAAAAAGCAAATAAGAAAGTTACATGTATCTCTCTCTTTCGGTATATCTTTGGTACCCATTAATTTATATCAACGCATCAAAACTGCAAAGTCTTTTACACTCACCGCCAAAATTCGCAGGAAATATTTGCCCAATTTTCAAGTTCAATAACTGTTACCAAATAGCATGAGTCATAGCTTAGGTTTCTTCGACTATTGTGACCTTTGTGGATGGATTGCTGCGAACTTTGGAAATCTTTGTAAATTCGCGCACGTAGACTTAAACAATTATCTGCCATGTACTCTAAATTATGACTTAAAACTTACTTCGACGATACCAAGAGGATTAAATTTATTTTCAAAATAGATTTGCGAGCAACAATTAAGAAAGCATACGATGAAGCGCAGTTTTCTTCATCCTTTATATTTACAATCACGCCCTTGCAAGAGCAGATGACATGTTAGTGCACACATACCTGCATATGAATGTGGAGATTTTTTTTTTTTTTTTGTTAATTCAAGCTTCAGGATATATCCCCTTGTTAAGGTCCTAACATAGTTCTGTTAATTAATTAACTGAGTAGAGATGCTGGCTATGCGTGAGTTTGAAAAACTGGCGCATCCAAATTACTAAATTCACTATCATTCAAATAATATAAAACAAGTAAAAACGTTATAGTCCGACCACTCTTCGACATTAAATACCCTACACCACTGTGTATAATGCAGATATTCATACATCTTTTCAAAGTCATGGAAAGTGGTCGGAAAAACGATCCGATCCGAACAATCTTTAAAAGCGTTTGTTTTTGGGTCAAAACCAAATTTAACTAAAATATCTAAAAAATCGCGTCCTGTAGGTTGAACACAAGAATACAAGGACAGGGGGACCTTAGACGGACGAAACAGGCGAAAACCATTCTCTGAATCGGGTTAATAATAGATGGATGTTGCAGACCAAGATAACCTAATACGCAACGGGGCAACGAAGTTTTACACCACAAAAAACGTTTCTAAGGCGCAGAGATTACTTGATCCCCGTCTAGAAATTTTTTCACGAACTGTTCCTGACAGTGAACGAAGGTCCAAAGTGACAGAGGCAGAGAGTTGAGTCCTCCGGTTCTTTTTCATTTGAATTTGCTTCTCACTTATTATTTTCTATTGTGTAATGCTGTTTATTTGTTTTCTTGATTTTTTTAGTTATTTTGTTGTAATCAGAAAAAATGGTGGTTTTCGTCTAAATTTGGTTGCAAATATGTACATATATGCTACAGTCGATAGGAGCAATATTAAAACCTACCTATGATTTTTATACGATTTGCTATAGAAAATTGCGATTCACTTTGCAATTTTGGAACCTATCTAGGACGCAAAGCGGGGTCTTGATGTATTTCTTCAAAAGTTTTGTCTGATCGGCCCGCCGCTGCGTTATGCGAAATAGGCGTGTCAGTACGTAATACATAAAAGTTCTCACCACAGAGGTGTGCGTTGAACAATCCAGCTGTATTTGATAGATAAACTATGCTTTGATGGGTAGCATAGATGTACCGAAACTCTCACCTCGCAGTGGTGATCCCCGGGCAACGGCTTCGGCCGGCTAAGAAGAGTTTTAGGTTTTGGGCTGCTAACTCAGCGACGAGTTTCTGAGAGATGGTGGAGGGGTTGGCTGGAAGATGAGCTCTTCACTCAATAGCTGGTTACTACCTAGGAAATATCTGAATGGATTTAAATACGTTGAAGGTAGTAATCTAGCGAGTGCATGGTAGATCACTCTGCCATGTCAGTGCAATACCCGAGACCTATATATCTCGAAGAAAAGTAGTTCACTGGTGCTGGCAACCAGGAAAGTATGGAGAATGCGAAGCAATTACGGTTGTTTTTTAACATCCGCCCAAAGTATGCCAAAGGCTTTGTAAAACAAACTGGGAGCCACGGTGGTCAGGAGGCTCGCCTCACAAAGCCACGTATGCCTGCGGGTGTATGATGGACTTTGTTCTTAAAGTCGTAATGAATAAATTAATTTTACTATTAATGCAAAAAGGAATTGACGGACGGCCTTCCCTTTGGCCGTTTAATAGAAAACCTCTGGCAAATTAATTTAATACATGCAAAAATGAAAAAAGGTATTTGACGGAAAGGTTTTTCCCCTTTTGCCTATGTTTACTTTTGAACATATGTCACGGATGCCTGCGGGTAATGGTGGTAATTGATCAACAGCACAGTGGAAGCCTTATGGCGGAAGCAAGCGTTGATCAATTTGTGAGTCCTGACTGCTTGGGTGCGGCCCTTCGGGGAGTACTCGTGGTGGTTGTGGTTGTCGAGTTCCTAGCTAAAATGGAACAATTTTGAGTGCAGCTAGGCCTCACCATTGACTAGAATGGGGTTTATTGTTCCATACACAATAAACCGTTCTGGACTCTGGTGCTGTTTAGGCCACTACTCCGTGGGGATTGTCTAACTCGCCAGGAGGCGTAGTACGCTTAAAGTGGCTTGGGCCACCGTGGGGTTAAGCCTTTCAGGCAGGAACCCACGTTAAACCCTTGCCACAATTCTGTATTTGATAGAAAGACATCAACACCGTATTCTGTAAATCTTTAGGCCAGGGTTCGCAAAGCAAGATACTACTGAATCTAGCTTCAAATCTAGTTTTCAGGGTTGATTTGACTTGCAGAAACCTTAGACCTTGCTTAGAACGCTTTATGTTATCATTGAGAATCCATTTTAAAGCTTCGAAAGCGATTCTGCTAAGAAGTGGATCTCTACGAAATTTGGATAGCAATCAAGCGCAAATTGATCAGCGAACATTCATGTCCTTGGCTCAGATAATTACGTTATCCATATTTCTTTCCTATATGCCTTTCTAATTTCCTGTAGACGTCTTTGAATAATTGGCCATAGAGATCCAAGGCTAGTCAATAATTCTTATATGCTTAATTTTTAATCAACGCGCACTAGAAAGTTTAGGTTAGCATTATAAAACTCAACTTGGCGTCCACTTTAAGTCCTGCCAGTAACAAACGTTTTGAACCAGCGTTGCCACTTGTCGACATTCAATGCATCTCCGTAAACATCGCAAACATTCTTTGTCGTTATCGTTGCATTAAATCCCGCTTGAATATAAAAAACTGTGCCATGACGAATATGATCCTCGCACGTCGTCATGTTATTACACGATTTTCAAGAAAATTATATTTTTTAGGATATTTTCTACACAGAAGAAAAGGCAAAGCATTGCTTGCTTGTGAATACCCCTAATATTATTAAATATTTATATAATAATTCATAAAATTAAATATCGGTAAATCATATATATTTTTGATCAGCGCGTAAATTGGAATAATGGCATTGCCGCTCTAGCCAGCGCAGTTGGCATCGTAACATTATTCGTTGACCGCATTTATCAAAAAAGAATTTGATTTAATAAGATGGTGTGCCAAGAAGTCATTTCAGTTCAGTTTATTCCATTTCGACCTTACGTGGCATGATATTGCCCACTAGATTGTCTGCAGGTTCATTTAACTTCATAATTGACTTCAAAAAACTACGACCCAGTAATAGTTCGGTTTACAAATTGCGATAATCAAAAAGAATTTGCTCATGAGCAACGTGTGGAACACTTGGTGGGTTTTGTATGTGTACAACGATTAATTTTACTAACGTTGTCTCTGAAATGTGTAATCTTTACTCTTTTTGGAAAAAGTCTTTCGGTCCTTTTCCTTCAAAACGATTACGTTTCCTTAAACGCAAACTGAAAACTCCCTTTGATACGTTCGACATTCGCGTTGCAAAAACTGTATGACTTTCAATCACAAATCACATCGACCAGTATTTTTTTGGTTTAGTTGGAAATGTTTCCAGTTGGTAGTTGAATTTTGTTGCTCCAAAACAGAACGAGCTCGTTTGTTTTAATCTTTAATTCTTTTCAATAACGCCTCATAGATAAATTTCCATCTGCGGTGGAGAATTGTGTTTGCCTATTTTCGGACTGACAAAGCATGTCGATATGCTTTGTGACCTGTCACCGATGCAAAGTGATGCACAACTTTGCCGATTTGAAAATCGATTTTCCGAAATATGATTATTATTATTATTATGATACGTATTATTAAAATATGTTTATTAGTCTTTTAATGAAAGTAGCATAAGCAAGGCTATACGTTTCGAAAGAAATACTACTGAAAAGTAATAACACATGAATAAAAAATCTGCAAAACAATTGATAGTCTATAACTGGGTAGACATCAACAGATTCGACTTAGTTCAAAGATAAATTTTTTTGTTTACAAGTTTTGTGTCTTGATTTTTACTCAACTTAAGCAAAATGTTGTGCATTATTTAAAAAGTTTTTCCCAAACCTTCTCTTACTTATCGAAATAAGTATATCTCGGTGTTTGTTTTTTATCCCCTATGCAACGGGGATAACTCTGAGTCTCCTTGCAAGAAATACAGAAGAATGAAGAAGAAATACGCACACACAATACAACTTGAAAGTAATTTTACGTCTGACTAAACATTAATGTGCCAATATTTTATTGTTTATTTAAAAAAAATAAAAAATAAAACAAAAAAAACAAAAACAAAAACGAAACGACAAACAATGAAATTTCAAAATTACGTCTTGATTATGATGGTGTCTTTGGCGGCGGTTTGTGAACATCTTCCAATCAAAACATTTGCCATGAAACCCATGCATAAGGACTTGAAAAATACTTATTAAATAATTTTGGTATTTTTGTATAAATTTTTGTTAGATTATGTCATATTAAATTTCTTATATTGAAATCAAATCCAATACAAAACTAAAAAAAAAAAATTTATGTTTAGGTTTCAGAGACGGCAACTGTTAGTTTCTCGCCTGTATAATGCAAAAACGACCAGTAAAGCTATCCGTGCTTTCGACAAAAATTTTAGTTTAGAGGTTTTTGCTAACCCTGATCGTGTGGGAACATGTTTACACTAACGTGAGTAAACATTTGCATTGAATTTCACCATATGTGCTTAATTTCAGGTACCAGTGCAGTTGTAAAATCTTCGATTTATATCCAACACTGCAGGACAATTTGTCACTAGAATCAACATTCCTATGATATCTGGAATTACGTTTCAAAATTCCTGTAAAATATATAAATTCTTGATTGCATCAGAAAACAAATTATTTGGAAATTATTAGAATGTCCTTCTTACCATTGAATATTGCGTAAGAAAAGGATCACATGAATCTCACTGTTTGCGTATTAAAGTGGTAACTACCTCAGACGAACTCTTAAAGGATCTGCTTGCATAGTTTTTTGGTATTGACAAAAAAATAGCAAAATCAATATCTTGCCACCTTTTACTGGTAATGATAAAGAGAATGGAGTTAAGGAGTGGTCCGCATCTTTGAGTAATTATTCACTTTTTAACAGACTTCGTTCAGTTACATGCATCACATCCATATAACGTACTTCCTTTTTAACAAAATCCCCCCCTGCCACGAACATGTCTGAGAGCAAAGGCTTATCCGAATATCATGAAAATTTCCAGGAAATTTGCAAACGGCAGAATTTTTTAATATGATTAAAAAGTTGTTCCTTTGTATGCATTTAACTAATAAATATTCATGTAACCAACCACTCATATATCGTATAAGTATGTATTCACATGTAAAGTTCGATTCGTTCAAAACAGCTAAGTGTTTATGCCTTTATAAATTTATTATTATTGTTGTTGTTGATTTTACATCCATGTGTTTATACATATTCTAACGGCAACAATATAAATCAGCACAATTTGTCAATGTTGTTTATGTTGTATACTTATTTGACTCTCTCTTGGCAGCATAGACAAGCAGCCATTTAACTACCAGGGTTCTCACTGCATTCCCAGCTTGGCTGTTAAGCAATTAAACAGTAAAAAAATGTAAAACAAACCATCAACCACAATGTAGTATAAATGAATAAGCTATGTATTTGTATGTATGCTTGCTTGTATGTGTATTTGTGATATTTATTTTGCTTTATACATATTTCAATAACGATATGTGTACTTATTGTTCAAAGGATGTCGACTAGCATCGCTGTGCTGATGATATGCCAGGAAGGTGGCATAAATGATGCATGGCGTGCTAATTTTAATGACGACAGCTTTTGTTTTAATTCAGAAATGAAAGCATTAGGATATGCCGCGGTCGCTGTTCACGGAAGGGCTGAAGTACACCAATTCTCTCGTTCGATTTGTGTCGTTCGGTATGAATAGGTATCAAGTCCACCTAAAGCCCTTTTTAATTAATATGAAGTTGTAAAATACGCGGGTCTACCTGGTGTTCCATTTATTATTGTTGGCCTTTTATATTTACAAAATATCCCGTTCATCTTAAGTCTTATAAAACTACTTTGCTCGCTATAGTTGGTAATAGACATCAGAAGTCTTGTAAAACAAATACAGTATCGATCAGTCTAAGGTTCTGAATGGATTTGTTTATATCCGAGGGTCTTCGTGGCGCGAATGCTTGCGCATACTTTTACTTAATGGTCACAAATAAATCACATTTTTTCAATAATTTATTATCTCTTTAGTAGAGCTATGTAAGAATTTGGTGTAAGAAGCACGCGATCCGTCTAAAAAATAATAGAAAACTGCGTTTTTTACACATTTACTTGAGCTGATCGGTGTCGAAAATATATTCCCCAACTTTTCGAGCCATCACCAAAAAAGAGGTGTAGTTGTTTGTACGGATTTCAATCATTAAAATTTCGGTTAGAGTAAAAGTGCGAATCGATTTACTTATCTCCATGTCTCGGAAATATTCGCAGGCAGAAAAACTGCAATGAAGAGAATAAAATTTAGCATAGTTGTTCCCAATATATAAACGATATTGATTTGAAATTGAAGACAAATATTTGGTTATAAACAATAGACGATCGTAATTGGTGAACAGATGAGCCCCACAATTGACTTAAGACTTTGCCGTCCCCAGGATATTCAAAATTCTGATCTGGATGATTATTCCCGTTGTTACCAATAAGCAGTGTAACATAATGGAATATTTATATCTTCCATAGACACATGCATGGATACTCGAAAAGTTAAAACAACAACATATCACTATAACTCATGTGAATGGATAAACATAACGATGACGGCTTTTAACGCCCTTAGAGAATTTTTGTAAACACAAACAACACAAAACAATGAAAGAAATAATAAAACTACAGTGTGTTACCGGAAAAAAACAAGCATCAGAATACAACATTTTTACTTGTTCACATTTACCGTTAAATAAAATGTGTTGTTGAATGTATATCCATCTCAATACATATCATTACGTTTATACAAAACATAGTTAAGCGAAACAGCGGCAGCACATCTTGTAACTGCTAACTTTTAACTCTTGCTCTCATTGTCTTTGCAGATAAGTAACGTTTAACCGTTGCAGTAACTTCTCTAGAGGAGAAGATTTCTTTTTCCACTTTCCTTCTCTTATAGTTATGTTGTATGTTAGCTTTTTTCACATATCGACAGTTGCTTTCCAAATAAAATTTGTTTTTCGATTTGTTTAAGAGAAAAACAACAAATACTTTAGTGCAATAAATAAACATAAACTCCACTTACGCTACAGACAGGATCTAACGATGAATTTAATGTAAAATAAGATTAATTCAGTAGATTGGCGACAAAAGCCATGTTTTGTATACGAAAATAAAAAAATATTTTTTCAATTTTTGCCGATCATAAAATTCAGAAAATTTGTGAGAAATTCGAAATCTGAAACGCTCAAAAATACCAAATTAAGAAGAACATGAAAACGTTTCTCGACCTCAACTTGAACGCATCCTATTTTGGTGGCGTTTTGAAACTTTTGATTGAAACAATCTCAAAATTATTATTATTTCGCTATATTAAGTTACTTCTTACATATTTTCATAACTGAAAACAAATCCCATTAACTGGTGCTGTCAGTAGTAAAGTAATGAGATAAAGTAATGAAATAACAGTTCTAACAGTGAAATAGCAGTGCGGTGAGATAATTGTCAAAAGCCAGCAATTATCCTTTAGGAGGAATTCAGATGAATTTAAGAAAAACAAATGAAAATAAAACAACTAAGAAAATTACATTCGATCGTGACCGAATCTTTTATGCCCATCACCGTTATCCGAAAAAAAACAAAAAAAATAAAAGGCCTAAGGAACGTTTACAACAGACATTACACGCATGCGGGCAAACGGACATGACAAAATCGATTCAAAATTTGATGCTGATCAAGAATATATATGTACTTTGTGGGAACGCTGAAGCTCCTCATTCTTCCTCATAAAAACTGAAGTCACATAAACTTCATTTTGAATTTCACTAAAGAAGTTAGATAAGCAATACTTCTACATCCAGCTTGAATAGATGCTACAATTCCTTTATCTTCTTAAATCGTCCTTCACATGTTTACGAACTGTGTTCAAAAATTTTATGGCAACGCCGTATGAATTATGTTTTTATTGTTTTCGAGCTAATGGCACCTTAAGTGCCTTCAATCTTGCGTGGCTTTGTGATAACTTTCAAAACGTCTAGGATTCTTCTATTGATTGATTTTCATGAAATTTTTTAATTAAATTCACCACCATTTCTGCTTAAAATAATATTTAGAAAAAGAAAAAAAACTTACAATTTTTCTTAGCGTTCTAACAGCAACTTTTTGCTTTTTTTTTCTATATGCAAAATAGCAGCCTTGCTTGCGTTTGGCCGTTTTGAGTATTGAAAAAAATTAGACATAAAAGAGCTGAAGAGCGTTTCGCAGATCTAGGATACATTGTAGAAACTCCGAGAGGTGTTAGATACAAAAATTTGCAGAACCACTTTTACTTTCATCTTTACGCTTTACTTTAGACAATTTAAACAGAATTGTTAAGGAATTCTTCGTTGCCTTTTAATGAAATAATAATTAATGCATTTATGTGTGAAATACGTGCCGAAAACGAACAATAAATAATTTAAACAAACTTCCCAACAAAGGCAACAATAGCGTCGCTTTGCTTATTCGCAGATGCGTCATATGGTATAACTGCTTCTGGATCATTCACATAATAGAAGAAAATTTTAAATTTATTACTGTGCTTAGAGTAAACAAGGATGTACACGTAAGCGTTTTAAGAAGTTCAATTGGTTTACTTTTAGCCAGCGTTAATACCGAAAAAAAAAAAAAAATGAAGTAATTGGGTTTTTGCTGTTTCCATTACTGAGCTTCCGCTGGCAAGATGTTTGCCCCACAAACATAATGAAAGGCAAATAAAAAAGTTTTATAAGCCTGTTTGAGGATAATCAGAAGGACTTCTAGAAGGCCTTGTAGGTTGAAATACAAAGTTTCTTGGATATTATGGCTGCAAGTTAACGACCCAAGCCCACTGGTTCTGCTTGAAGCTACGGGAATTCCGACAAGGAACCGATATGACTCCATTGACTTACAATCTCACGCTGACCAAATGTAGTGCACATATATTTTATAATGTTACTATCACCTGCAAAGAAAGGTGGATTTTTTTTTTTAATTATTAATTTTTAAATAATTGATTTAAAGTTGACTCAAGTTAAACTTAAGTAACGAATGAGTTTTACAAAACAACCACTCGTTAAATGGAAAATAGCAATCTGTTGCACGTTTAATCAAGAAAAATGAAAGCTTGATTGCCGTTAAAACATGTACATGACAAATACATAAAAATATGTTTCTTTAATTACAGTTGACGCTAACTATGCAAAAGAATAATAAAATTACACTTAAATTACAAGGTGTAAACAGCAATTACATGCCTCTCTCTATGCATTTATGTATTTTACATTCTAACAAATGATCGTTCATATATATAAATACATATTCACATATATATTTATTTATTACATTTATTTGTTAAAATGTTAAGTACATGATAATACATATATACATACAATGATTTGCTTTGCTATAAGGTAAATATAACAAAAGAGTTGTTTTGTTTTCATATTTACGAGTATAATAAAACTCAATGATACAACAAATTAATGTCAAGCCACTGTAAATATAAGCGTTCGTTCATTTGTTTGTTTCCACATTCTAGAATTTTTCTCATAGTAAGCACACTCAACCCTAATAAAACGAAAGCTAAGAAATTATGGTTGGAAGGGAACAATTTAGCTTTTTTTTCTCTTTGTATTTCTTGCTTTGAAATTTTAATTTTGTATCGTCATTAAAGTGGAAAGACAAAGATAAGAAATGCAGTATGTAGCAGCTTTTAAATAAAAATTTCAAAAACTTAAATACGAAGACAGGTAAACAAGTCCCAAGTCCTATGTATGTATCAATCTGAAACGGTTAGAAACTCTAACTGCAACTCCTATACAAGAACCACGATGTCGACGGCGCGATAATAAGTCCTGCAATAGAAGGAAAGCAAGAAGTATAATTTTTTTATTTCCGGTATGAGAGATTGCAACAATTTATAAGCGGCCGACAAGCAGAAATGCTATAACCCATAAGGCTTAACTTAACCCGTTTTGTGTCGCATTTCTGTTGACTCTTTTTTTTTTTTTATTTTTATTACTAACCAGGGATCAATTCTACAAGATGTGCTTACGGGCGTTATCCAACTCTATGTCATCGGTATTCATAAAATAACTGAACTTATCTTCTGATCTTATGTTCAGAGACGAAAGTAGCATGACGTAGAGAAAGAAAAAATTAATAAATTTGTCTTTTATTTACGCAGGGATAAAGATATGTATAACTTCTGCCGGGTACTCAGCGAGTCATTGCGCTTCGTGATTGGAAAATCCTGTACTCACGTTATGCGCAAAGCTTCCCACATAGATAATTTTCTTTGGGTAAGGAAAATGTAGAAAAGTAATCGTTTAAAAAGAAATCGCTATAAATAAACCAATACCAAATAGGGGAACTTAATTGTCGAACCTCGTATTCCTATTTGAATTTTCTTCATTTAGTAACAATTATATTTACACCGGGGTTTTATCTTCGCCCCCCTTCCTTTAGCTTTCTTTTTCACATGTACATGAGTACATATTAATTTTTATATACTTTACAGGTTTCTCTTTATAGCTTAGGCGACAAATATTTATCTTTTCTTAGTTTAATAACATTTGTAGTCACGTACTTTTTCTTGAGACTTTTTTAATTGACTTCTTTACGAATCAGGTTCGACGGAAAAGGGAATTTTCCCAACCTTTCCTTTCGCTTCTTTTCTTCTCTAAGGATTTTCACACCAATCACATTCATTAGTTGAACTTATCTGTGCTGTATTGTAATTTTTTATGAAAATTTTTTTAAATATGTTTATTGTCTGTGCTCTTCAAGTTCGTTACGAATGTGTGCTTGTGTCTTCCGACAGTTGGCTGAATTCTACGTGTTCTTCTCAACTACCGAAGAATCATTTAGGTTATGTGTGTATGGTTTCAAAAAAAGGAAAAAAAAAAAAAAATGAATAAATAAAAAAGAATGAATAAAAAAGTTTGCAAATAAAGAATCCTTTTCACTCAACACTTCAATAAGTTTGTAAGAGTTTCCTATTTTTTTTTTTTCTCCACAACGTAACCTGCATATTAATTTTTATAAACACCGACTAAACATACTTTTTATTCGGAGCATCTTACAGGGTGCACATGGAGACAAAATTTATCAACTTTTAACAGGACATTTTAATAAAACACATTTAATTTGTGGACACCTTTAAAAAGAAAATAATTCCGAATTCTTTGACCGTCATTTTGCCCACTTTATTTAATTTTCTTCTTCGTTTTTAAGTTTGCTAACTAATTAACTAGTGGCGCAAATAACAACAACTAATAGAGGTAGGATTTTCATGAACCCTAGTTGCCAAGACGATTAATGTTTATTTGCTTTAGCTCCTTTTCTTTTAATATCTCAGTTCGCAACAATCATTTGTCGAATTTTCGAGTTATGTTGCGCCTTTTTCCAAATCCTTTCAGGTAAGAGTTGTAAGAGCTTATAATTCCCTGCCTGGGGAGTTACAGCAGCTTAGATGCCCTTTTCTCACTTGCAAACGTAAGGTTTTCATCTGTATTACTCATTATTTTGGGCGAAATATGTTTAAGCGTGGTATGTGTTATTTCCTTTCCTATTAACTTACTCCTCTTTTTATTCCTATTTTTCTCTTTACCTCCAATTTTCTTTTCCTTTACATTATTCAGCTAGATTTGGCATTATTGTACTTTATTATCGCACCTATGATAAACATTGTAATCTATAATATTATAATAGGTCTTAATAGCTTCGACGTTACATAAGCGTCATTAAGTAAATAAATAAATATAGGATCGCAATTTCCGAAAAAGTTCTTGGACTATTATATATTTTCTTAAAGTATTTTCTCGACACCGAAAATATCTTTTCTTCTTTTTCTCGCTTACTAAGTTTTATGCAATGCCTCTGTAATAAACTATTAATCATTTTTAAATCTTTTTTTTTTTTTTTTGTTACTTCTTTTATTATAATAGACCTTACAATTACGATACCAATCGAAAGAGCAATTACGAGCCTAATCGTCAAAGAAGCTATGTGAGTATAACTATTTCCGCCCTGGTGTTTCTTTAATGTATCCACACAACCTATTGGTTTACATTTCTTTAGAATTATTGTAGAAACAACGAATTTCCTCAACATAATCTTCAACGATCCTCCACCACATGTACATTTAAAAACGGTAGTAGATGGAATGGCCGTGGAGGGTATCAAAATTATAGCAATGATCGTTATCGTTTTTACAGCAATTATAAGCAGGATAATAGAAATTATCGCAACGAATATCAGAGTCAGGAAAATACCACATATGCAAAGAATTCTAAAACTAACTCATATCAAAGTTATGATCTGTATCGCAATAACCGAATTAATAGCTTTCACAATAACAATAATAATAATAATAACGATAAAAATGAAAATTTAACTCATAAGAATTCTCAGTTACCGCTATCGTCTTTAGATACTGTGATCAAAAATAGCTCGAAGCCGAGAATAAACCGCAAAAAATCATCAAAAACAATTTCGACGGCGAAACAGACAAAAAATTCAAAAACTGCGGCATACTATCAGCGAAAATTTGCCAAAGCTTCAAGAACCGATACAAATCTAAGCAAAAACGAACGTGCTCGTAGCAAAAAAACTTCAGCGAAGGAAAGACGACAACACACTGCTAATCAGGTCAAAAGCTTTAATAGGGAATCGTCTAAAGTCCAGAGTGTAAGGGAAACTTGTGAGAAAATAAAATCTCAACCGGTTATAACTTGGCAGTTAGAACAAAAGAAAAATTCTAGCAATTATAGTGGTAAAATTAATAGTGAATCTATTAAGTGCAACGTAGACAAGAAACAACAAAGCATCCACCAACAGTTGATTGAAATAAACGATATAAAGGATGTAATCGAAGCTCAGCCTTGCAATACAACTAACGAAGACGTACGATATAACGAAAGTGTGGAACAAGAGACTTCGGTTATATGTAACAAATCCTTATTAAATGCATTAAATGACATTCCTTTACCAGATGAAAAACTCGTAGAACCTTTAAATTGCTCACAAAACGAAAAAAAGCCCAGAAGATCAAGTCTCGTGATAAATTCAGAAGAAGAGATAGACGCTTTAAAATTAGTGCAGTCACCTGCTAATACAACAAATGTAATAATAAATTGCCAGCAAACTGCAGAAGAGGACGCACCCAAATTGCCGCAAATAAAATTAATACCTTTAAAACGTCTTATAGCAGAGGAATTTTGGGAGCTCGCGGCAGATGAATCGTACGAACCAGCCATTCCAAATACAGCCAGTAAACAAATCGTCAAACCGAATTTAATTAGACGTAAACGAAACTATTCAAGCTGTAGCAGTAATTCCATTGCTAATACACCGGGAGAAAAGAAAATTGATAAACTATTGGCTATGGATAAAATAAGTATAAAAAACGTTATCAACGATACTGATACCAAGTACGATGAGGCATTGAAAGCCCAAGCTCGTAAGAGATTGCGAGAAGAGATACGACGTCAGTTAAAGGCGATAAGCTTCGAAACGCCAAAACCTCAACAAAATTTCAACTTCGTACCCGATGAAGTTGTCGATTCCATTCACATACCTGACGTAGTTCTAGAGGAAATAAAAAAAGCACTTGGCCTCGATTTGCTCAGTGGAGACGATGCAAAGGTAAATGGCGTGGATTTTGATTTTAATCTGTTCACAAATGTGGAAGTTGAAGCCATCGCAACTAACGTAACGGATTCAGGCAAAGATGGAAAAGTCGCCGAACATTTTAGTTTGGAACCAGTTGACTATACGCAATCAGCAACAGCTTCAATAGCTAAAACAAAAGAAAGTTCAATTTCCCCGAAAACGCCAACAAGGAAATTAACGCCATGCGATAAGCTACTTGAAGTGGTTATGAAAATTTCTCCGAAGATAAAAGAAAACAAACGTCCGCGTTCTTCTAGCACTTCTCCAAGCGAGAAACAAGTAGAAACGGATCAGAAAATAACAATTAAAAAAGAGAACATTGGCGTAGCGGGAAAATGTAAAAAGAAAGAAGCTGCTGCTTCTGAAAAAACTAAAAAGCTTACTAAACGCAAAGACTCCCGGAAATCATCAAAAAGTCGTTCACCTAAAGATGTTAAAGGTATCATAGTCATCGATTCGTCATCTTCTTCTGAAAGTAGCAGTTCGTCTTCATCATCATCATCATCTTCATCTTCGTCGTCCTCCAATAGTTCCTCTTCAAGCGATTCGGACTCTGATACTCCGACTCGCAGCAAAGCTTCGACATCCATTAAGAAAAGGCATTTAAAGTTAAAAGCTGAAAACGTGATCGATAGCTTTGAAAAGCTCGTATTGCCTTATTTAAGTGAAGCTCTCGCCGATCGCTACCACTCAAAATATTCGTTATCTAACAATTGGAAATTACATTTCATTTCTTGCATTTGCGCCAGCGATTACAACACACAGAAATTTTCAAAGCTTGAAATTTCTAAAATCCAAAAAAGTCTTAAATCTTCAGACCGTTCCGTGGCTTTGAGTTTTCTAACAAAACAAATTGAAAATGTTTACAATAAACAGAAACAAGTAACAAAACTGGGTCAGGAAAGTAAAAAGATGGAAAAAGGTCGACCGTCGTCTACCAACTCGACTACGCCAGAGAGCAATGAAAACGCAGCCAACAAAAACACACACAAAGGATATGATAACAAACTAAATGTCCAGACATTGACGACGTTAATGAAACCTAAAAATGTCGATGCAGCGGAAAAAGTTTCAGTGACTGGTAGTAACTCTGAGACAGCTTTTGATGACAATCACATAAAGAAATGCGTGTCTAGAATGTTGACGCTCTACAAGCAGGAAATGAAAGCCGCATTAGAGCAAGTTAAAGAGACAGAGAACGTAACCGCAACAACCCCCCAAACAACAGATACCATACAGAAATGTACAACAAATGAGCAAAACTTAAGCGACGCTGCGGCAAAAGATGTTGAGCAAGCAAAAATCGTTAGCGAAGAACATCAAACAGATGCAAATACTTTGACATCTAATTCCACAAACAACAGAGAATCCAATAATGTTAATGACATTAATCAACACAAGCTGCAGCAACTCGAAAAAGCGACACGAGAAATTTTAGAGCAGCGACAGCAAAAATCTTCGATTGAAAAAAAATGTGAAAATGAAAATAATTTAACTCAAAGTAAGGCATTAACTGCTTTGGAATATAATCCGTTGGAATATTCAGGCTTCAATATGTCCAGTTCTGCATTAGTACAGCATCCCGCACTCACCTCAGTTGATTTAGAAGCTCTTAGGCAAAAAATCCCAATTGGCGAAGCAGTAGTCAGTAGTTTACGTGAAATCGATGTCAAACTGATGGAATTACATAAACGGAAAATGTTCATCGAAGAAATGACATTAAAACTGCAAAAAGAGAAAATGGATATTGACCTCGCAACGATTAAATTGCAAAATGAAAAATTCATTTTACTTAATACGGCTATGACTGCAAATGCAGCGTCAACCGATCCGAATGCTAATGGAAAAGTGGAAGCGGCTCTTTGGTTAAAAAAAATCAAAATGGAAATTGACAAGGACCGCGTCAACGCTAAAGGAAATATTGTAACAAAAACAAACACTAACAAGAGCACTGAAGCACGCAAAAACCCTAATAGCTTAGAATCAACTGCGCCGAAACGTACAACCATAGGAAAAAAATGTACGAAAACCATTTTGAAACGTAAAACAGTAAGCGTTCCAACCAACCCATCCACTAAAGCGAAACGTCCTTGCCAACGAAAGGAGATCGCAAACAAACCTCTCGTGAAGGTCTCAGAAAAGGCAGCAAATGTCGCCGAAATCAGTGTCAGCAATACTGCCAAACCAGCAAAATGCTTCAATGATATATCCACTGGCAATATTGAAGGTATCCGCAATCCTATCACTCAAATAAAAGTTTATGATAAGAATATAATAGCGGCCTCAGAAGATGGGAATCTGTATAAGTTTGATGTAAAAACCTTAAAATTACTAAACCAATACGCTAAACATAGTGAAGCTATAACATTCATGCAACTCTGTACGGATAAACAAGTTATCTACACGACGTCTTTAGACGGTTATGTCAAGAAAACATCACTAGAGGTTAGTATGCAAAAATGAATTTTTAGAGTTTTTCTTTACTCGCTTGCCATTCTAAGAGCATTACTAGATTCATAAACAAAAAATATGTATCGAAGTACAAGTTATTGGTATTCTTCCTACTTATTGATTGAACATAGAAGAAAGACATACGAAGGTAGAGCGGCAATTTATTGCAGAATAAGTTCGAGAATCAAAAAATTTAATTTACGTTCCTTAGAAATCCGTGCAAAAAAATTGTGAAAAAAAAGCGATATAATGTAAATTTGATGATATATTCCATACCTTCAAAATCGTGTAAAATGAAAAAGATTTACATATTTTTTGAAAGAACCGTGCAAAAAAAGTAATAATGTAGATATGTCGGGTATGTAGCACAATTGCCGAATCTAATTCAAATGAAGAATCATCTTTGTTATTAACGGCAGGTAGCAGTAGACTGTGAAACATCGTCAAAATTAGAATTAAAAAAAATTTTTTTTTGATTCGTGCTAGAAAGAAAAATTCATGTACAAATGTGTATTTCATCTCATTGATTAACCGTATTATTTCAAAATCGTTTAAAAAAAGAGTTGCTTACATTGATTACAACCACTAGTAATGTGCCTACATCAAGACGAAAGTGGAGTATTTGTCTTTTCATTTTAAAACTATTTGAAGGCCACGTTGTTGCCCAAACATCCGTCCATTACTGATAATTTTGAAACGAAAGTTCGACTCGAGTTAACACTTTGTAATTTTCGTTAACTGAACTGAGCTGTGCTAATTATTTAAACTATGTTATTTTCGTGCATAAAGGGTATAACTACAAGTTTTGTTTTTAAAAAATCCTTTGGGTGTATATACATCTGATATATAAATAAGTGATTACCTGGTTTGCTCACAGATGACTTTACTTTCGTTTATCATAAATATTCTTTCTCTCTTCCAACTTTGATCAGCATTCTTCCACTGAAATGCAAAACATCCCCACCACATTTTGTAAAGCATTGAATAGATCGAATGCGTAACTCTACCTAATCCAACAAAAAGTGCTGCTGAACTGTAACGAATGATGAAATATGGACACGATGCAATGCCACAAACGCACAAAACCATAGCATTAGTCAAGAAAACGATTTGTAAAGGTGGATATCTTTGACACTACCATTCGGCAGTGTATTTTGGTGTAGTGTGTTATTATATCTGGTCTAGGCAGCGAAACCGTTATTATTACAGAAAAAGGGCGCAGTGTTCAATTGAAACTAGTCAAGAAATTGTTGATACCGTTAAGCTGGCATGTTTGATAACCCCATCTCTATAATCATATATCCAAAAGAACGATTGTCCTCTGGGCAAGTAATTCATATTCTTTCAGAAGGATGTGTAGCTAGTAGCGGCAGATAACACATAGATTCTAATATTTTTTATTATTCTCTTGAACTAAGTGTTTGCCTTTAATAAACAAAAAGGTCATCACTAGCATAACTCATAAGGGATATTCAATTAAAGTTCCTTGTAAAATTTTCCTAAGGTTATCACCAAGGTCTATGTAAAAATATTCTGAGTTCTCAATTGCCTCGTACGCTTACCGTTACCGATATGTTCCATTTTAATATAATGTGTTGGGCGTCAAAGATTAGTCAGAAAAGTAAAAAGACTAACTTTTTTGTATTCTTTTATTTACAGATTATGCAATTGCTTTCAAAGAAGGGATGATGCAAGCGTATAGTTAAATAGGAATTGCATTTTTTCTTTACTGGCTAAAGTTTTGTACTTGCATAAGGAACAATTGTCCGCAAAAATGTATAAAAATGTACCCGAATAAGAGTAGAATTAGATATGTACGTGTATGTGTGCATATCTTACGAAGTATGCGATATAATTATTATATAAATTTATTTTTTATCTCTGGAGCGTACACGTTCACGACGCCTTTTGCTCGTATTTACTTCCGACAAAATTGGGAAGATTTAATATTAAGTAGACAAGTTTCGTTAGAGACGTTACATAAAGTATACGAACTTTGTGCATGGATACTGTTTGTAAGTTTTCTGGTTATGCGAGAGGTCTATCTAGCTGATCCTCGTTAAAATATGCAGTGCACAGCTCGTTCATAACGGTGCTCTGCAAACCATTTTTAAGTACTTTCCCCGCTTGAAAGTTCACGATTATGGAAGGCATTAAATAATCTAAGCTACAATCTTGATGCTCCCTAATTTTTACCTCTTCAATTAGCGATTCCTTACATATGCGAGTGGAAGCATTTTTATCTCAACTCATTTTTTTTTACTTTAAGTAGTAAATGTTGCTCTGCCACATGGTCTTGCTGCGAATTCTCAAATGGTAGAAAGCAACGTCAATTTTTAATGCCCGATTCATTTATATAGCCATGTCCTCGTACTCTCTGTATGGCATCACCAACTATAATGTCGCCTTTGGCTTGCGAGGTTAATGCTCGAGGTAGAGCTGATTCCGGCAGCATCTGTTTAGCCGCTTTATCTAATGCCGTTACTGGGCTGCTCTGCGTAGACGAAGTCGCTGCCATAACAAACGCTTTTCATTTTCCTATATATTCGTAATATTGCGTCTAAACGTTATTAAAATTCTTTAACTTGGCATTAAAGACATTTCGTGTTTTACAGATAGTAATGGTCATTTTAGTTTTATTTTGTTAGCGAAGAAATTGGTTAGAAATTTACTGCATTAGGAAAACAATGCAGTTTTTTTGCAATGTAACTCTTTAACGGGTAACTCCAAACTTCTCTCTCTATTCACAGCACATGGGTTTTTTTTTTTAAATGAAAACGAGCTAAAAAAAAATATTTTTAATAGATATTCTATAGATTATTTTTAAAAGATTCGCCTGGGTGGCCGAGTAGGCAAAGAGTTTCGACTAACGACTCAGCCTTGAGTTCAAATTCCAAGTGCGGTAGAGCTTGCAAGGAAGCCGATAGCCTTCAGATGCTAATGCTTTAAGACTTTAGTCTTACAATTTATTCTTTGCCAAATTAATAATAATAATAATGATAATGATAATAATAATAATATTTTTAGCAGATATTCGATAAATTATTGGCTGATTATTTTTAACAGAGATTCTATAGATTATTGGCAAAGAACAATGAAAATGCATGCATTTTGGCGGGTAACTCTAGACCGCTAAATTATGACTCCTATCGAAGATTTTCTTTGGTCGAACACATGCTTTTTATTACTATAATATTATATCTCTTTTATTTTAATGTTTATTTTTCAGAATTTTGAGCCAGATGTACAGGCGATATACTTGCAAGAACCTTTGCAATCAATTGATGTGCAATGGGGCATGGCTTACATTGGCAGCAGATGGGGCAACGTGTTCACGTTTGACGTTACGGTAAGACTTAAAATTAAATGCTTGTTATCGACTGAATTCAGTCGCCGAAGGAATCCAATTAAGAATTTCGTGTGTTTTAATTTTCTACGCTCAATCATACTCAGCTAAAATTTTGAATTTGCCTTACACAGAAGTAGTGTGTGGCGGCACTGCTGATGTTCAACAGACACTTTATTCGATTGCACACCTTATTCTCTAAGTAGTAGTAGTTGTATAGAATAAGGAAAAAATAATAAATTGTCGTAGTTAATTTCTTTTCTCTCTCTAACCGTTTTTATAAACAAGGTGGGGTGACCTGCTCTCGGGAACAACAGGACCATTTTAACTTTTTAACGTTCGATTTCAAATTTATTGCTAAGACGTGATTATAATTTATGCTTTTTTATGCTTTTTATAATATACACAGTTGTATACATGTAGTTGTATACAGATAATAAACTAAGACTACACGTAACATATGTATACGAAAATATGCATATGTAACCATATTACTAAAAAATTCGTTTTAGAAATTGCAACTGAAAATATATTGAATTGCTTTTCCCCATCTTTAAGGGCGTTGCATTATAACTAACACTATGAATATGTATATAAATATATATATTTACATATATATATATTTATATATATATATATTTATATATATACAAATATATATACATAAATACATATATATATATAGATATACATATATATATATAGATATACATATATATATTGTGCATTATTGTGTTTTTATTTGTGTACTATTAAAAATGGCGTCCACAACTCAACAAGCAACTCAGCAGTCGGCTGTCGGTCGTCATCCTCTATAGTTTTCTGTTTATGTGTTTATTTAAAAGTTTCATGTACATACTTGCATACCACCTACCTATCGTGCATATACACAAAAACACCACACATACAAATATGCATGTTTGCACATTTGTATACATTACTCCTAAACAAGTTCTCTCAGAAAATGCATCATCAGGAGGCAACACGTTTTTCAATCACCCATTAGTGCGCATGCCTTGCACTTGTGGTTGCAATAAAATTTCTTAAGCTCATGTTTTTATTGTTAACACAACAATGAAAATAAGCAAAAAATATAAACAAATATATATGTAGTACAAGTATACACACACACATAAACACATACACGCATATATACGATTATATATAGACAGCATTAACAATCTGTAGCTAGCTGCCAGTACTGTTGGTTGTTGTTCGCTTGTATTCTTTTGTTTGTTCTTCCATTGCATCTATCGTTTCGGAAGTGTATATAGTTTCTAGCTTAGCCGGCTTAGCTTTATTTTGGTTGGTTCTACAGATTCCGCACAGCTTTCACTTGGAAAATGCGTCTGGGGGGCGTTTTCTTCAACTACTTCTTTCCCATTGGTCGTTACTGTAGTTGCAAGCAACTCTTTTTTTTCCGTTGTTGTGTGTTTTATTTATCCTTTTATTGTGCATTCACAATACATAACATCATAAAAACACCTATACCTCTATATATGTATTCACATTAATGTAAACGGCATTCTTTCTATATCCACTCAAACGGCTATTAAGAAGGGTGCAAGTTTTGAAAGAACTTTGCAATGTGGAGAGAGGAAAATAAATAGTTTTTCAATAAAATAGCAAACAAATGAAATTTTTTGTTTTGTATTTTTTATTAAACATGAATTAAATTGTTCTTGTTATACTTAACACTACAAGTCTGTAAACCTATATACTATAAAAAACGAGGTTTATTCGTATTGCGACTGCCGAACAGAATCAAATGAGCAAAAGATAAAGAAAGCTTGGGAAACGAAGAAAAATTAATAAATTATAAATGAACAAAAGTTTTCATAACTTGTCACTAATGCTCTTATGGAAAGGGCGCATTCCCAAAATTGCCTTAAGATTTTTAATATTAACGTGTCGTTCTGGAGAAAAGTTTAACGCTTCAAAAGAAACATGAAGCCAAAGATTCGAATTGTAAAATGTTTTAGAGTAATTCGTAAACAGGCCACCTATCCGAAGAAATTGGTCTAAGCTTAGTTATTAGTTGACCACAACTGAAAATCAAAAACTGTTATTTTTAGAAATCTCTTTGCAAAGAAGCCACTTTTTTACTGCTTTTACTCTGTGGTACTATTTTTTCTAAATATTGATGATCAGCGCTTAACTATCTACCATTACACATCTCTTACAAACTAATCCAAATCTTTTTTTGTAAACTTACTTTGAACTGAACATTTGCGGTCCCGAGCGCGTCTTTTACGAATAGTTGGATGCAGTACATACTTCGTACGAATTTGGAACTAACAAGATACATTAAGTTCTTGCATGTATTTTGATCATTTTTTATTAAACATAATTTCCCATCATTTTCTACAATTTTTTCCCAACATTCTGGCAATATGGCGATATCTTGTCGAAAGGACGATATTGGTTTGGCAGCAAAGCAAACATCAATTCAATCAATTTTCGTACTTCTTCAGCGAAGCCCTGCTACATCGATCTGAAGTGGTAATGAGAAGCCGTATCCGGTGATTATGCTGGATGCGGCAGAACTTCTCTTTCGAGCTGCAACAATATATCCCACATAACACTTGCAACACGCGGTCGAACGTTGTCATGCAAGAGGATGACTTTGCGTCCGTCAACCGCTATTGCTACAATACATTGGTCAATTTGTTCAGTTAAAGTCGGTAGACAGCTTCATTCGGTTTTAGCAGCAATACCCTACACCTTGCTGATGTCATCATGTGCACAGTAAAATTTTATAGCCATGAATATTCCGCTTTATTGTCGATGAGGACGCGTTTTCTGGACTAATCCGTGGCATTCCTTTCTTCTCTGGCAAGCTATGAAACAGCGATGTTGAAATGATTCGAAATGTAATTTTTCAGTCAATTCATATGATAGCCATTTTCCCTGCTTTTAGATTTTTCTCTTCGCATGTAAACGTCTAGACACAATGGATCCGTCAACTGTTAAGCTGTTCGAAAGTTTGTTTACGAGCAAAAAAGCAACTTGCTGTTGCTTCAAGAATTTTATTTAATAGCAAAATTGTCGAAATTTGTCAAACCATGCAAAAAAAACTCATGATAATTAAATATATTAAGATATTTTCTTATAAGCGTGATTAAACCAATGTCTTTCGCAAAGAAAAAGTTCAGTCCTGTTATTCCCGCTTCTGACAAATTATAACTGTGTACTATGTGAACCAAATAGCGAATGGTTCGTAGGAACGTGTGCTGCTTAGGAGAACTGAAAAGCGTTGGACGAGGATGAAGTCTTTTGGCATACGCCGATGGTCGAATATACGTAGAAGTCTGCAATGACAACTCAGATAATCAGAGACGAGTAGTTTTAACGGCTTTTTCATACAGTATTCCATCATATCCACAGTTGATATTGTTGGATTTTACGATTGCAAATTCGGTTAATTGCCCACTTGCCGCCAAAATTGACCATTATTTCTCTTCTCGGTGGTTTTGAGCCGTTTGCTCTATACGCTTCATAGCTTCCAGAAAAAATGTAGAAGCTTCCATAGTCGAATATAAGCGATGTAAATGGTGTCAAAATCGACTGCAATGAAGTTTTGCTTGCATTCCTTAAAAAAACGTGGACTTTTCACTGCATCGTACGATACTTCGAACACAAATTCTGTGCGTCGCGTGTCACTTTGTCCAGAAAATCAGAGGAGGGAGGTTTTCAACATTTGTCACGCGCGTTAAAATGGTATTGAGTTTCAGTGGCGTTAAAGTATACCCCATTTGCCTAACCCCTATTGGGACATTTTTATGACGTCTTGCTGGACTGTGTCAATTGAATTGATCAAGGCTACAAATGAATAAATAACTCGATATATTCCGAAAATCATTCGATCTATATATATTCTGGAAGGCTCGAGGGCCGAGTCCCTGGCAAAAAATACTCCTTAGCTATTATTTATTCAAACAATTTCCCTTCGAATAACATTACAGATTGCGGAACAAATAAGTTGAGGCTTTGACCCTTTGCTATAAAGCCATAGTTGAATAGAATCCGTATGAAGAGCTATCTTTTGTTTTTTTATTTTCCTCTTTTTCTTGGCCTTAAATTGAAATTTATTTCAATTTTCAATACCTTGCGTGTTTGGAATTGTCACGCAGAAACATTTCTCATTTCTATGCTATTCAAAAATTCTTTACATACAAATTGTAGCGCATGGAACTAGAATCAAGGTTAGGTAGCTGCTTAAAAACAATTCTCCTGACGGTCCGCCTTGCTAATACATTCTTGTATCTGGTATAGAACTGTGGAAAGAATTAAGAAAAAAATTTCTTCAACTTATGGTTTGTTCAATGCTTAGGTGCATTCCAAAATTTCATACTGGCCAAGTATTTGTGAACTTTGTGGAGTTTTGAAGTTTGTTTCTATGCGTTATGAAGGTATTGAAAAAAAATTAAATTTTAATACAATATCAGGTAGACGTGGTCAATGTTTCCTTTTTTGTAAGGACACTACAGCAGCACCCATAGAATATTTGTTCCAATTTTTGTACATTTATCTGATATAGCTTAAGAGTAACAATCGAAAAAATACAGTTTTTATCCCTTTTGATGAACGGAAGTGTTCTCACATTAAGTGGTACCTTAGCCGTGTTCTTCGACCGATTTGGCCTACTTTCACCACGCCTGCAACAACTTCCAATGTTTTTGCTAATTTGAAGTCGATACCCTTATATTGCATAGACGGACACACTGACTTGTTTAAATGGATTCAGAATTTGATGGTGATGAAGAATATAAACACCTCGTGGGGTCTCAGAAACTTTCGTCTGGGCGTTGCAAACGTTTTGACAAAACAAATATACTCTTCATCCGTTGGTATTGGATATAGGATTTTTTAAAAATATTGATGCTTGTTTGACTGACGAGTATTTGAATGAAAAGTTTTAAGTGTTAACCAAACGAAGCCACTTTTTTATTACTATGAAATATTTAAAATAACTTAGCGAAAATATCCTAATATTCTCTACGCGTTTCACTAGAGAATGATGTGTTGAAATTATTGTACAAAATTCGCCGTTTTCGATAATCATTTTTATAGAAAAGCAAGTTAAAAATTTTGGAAAGCCAGAGAATTGCAAGTTTTACACATTACATTTTGGGAAACGATGAAAAAAACGGGGAGAAAATACACACCTTCATATGATAGTTTTAATTTGCTGATAGAAACAGTGGAAAAGTTCGCATCGCTCTCATTCTCATGCTTACTTACTTGATGAAGTAGTTCTAACATATTTTCCGGTAATATTTTGAATCTTCAGGAAGAGATATGACTAAGCTAACTAAAAAAATTGTTTGTAAAAAAATTTGTTGTGTAAAAGCGTTTAGGATTCTTACCATGATACGCTATGCTGATATCATGACGCTTAAGGTAAAAAGACTTTTGGGAAAATTACAAATAAAAGACAGAAATCATTTCGAGGAACATTTTATTCATAACAAATGCGAATTTGAAAAGAATCGCATTTTTCAACTCCCACACAATTTAAAATATAGACACGATAGAATGAATGTTCCATAAGAAATTCATGCAAATTATTCGGCGGACATTTAACCCTGCCATTTTCTGAGCTCTCACTGCGTCTTCGTGTACACAAATCCATCGACCTGCATATATAAATTTTACGGTTTTTTACCGTCCATTTCAAAACTGTTATGCTTGCACAGTATACCGTTGCGTCCAATAAGTAAAACACATCGTTGGTGCTAAAATTGCATTTAAATTTTTTCCCACAATATCCTTTTATTTTTAATGATTTTCAAATTCCACTATTTACCTTAATGTTGAAAAAGAGCTTCTTATTGTGAGTCCATTTGACGGAAAAAGCACCTAGCAGACAGCCTTTTTTTAAGGTTTTCAGATAGCTAAAATAAATGTAAAGAGTACAAAAGCTGCGGAAGAAATTCGTATCCTGCATACTATACCATATAATTACACGTTTGTAAATAAATATAGGGCAAATAGGATATACACATATAATTATATACGACGTAAGGATGTTCATATCAACATCGCATTTAATTATAATTCATAATAGATATTATTAAATAAAATTAAATAAAGAACAAAAATTTACGAATTAAAGTTATGTTCCATTATGACTAATACATTATACTAATACTAATACATTTGTTCTTGATGATGTTCCGGCTCATTACTGAGTTTTTGTTTAATTATTCGAATTTTAACACAAGTATTCCATAACAGTACCTTACGTTGCAAGTATTAATTTAGTATTTAATAGATCGAATCACATTCATCGAGGAATTGGTTATGCGTGAGTATTTCGAACACTTCATCAAAGAGGACATTTTTCTGCCCCAAGTATGACTGTTTCTCAGTCAGTTTTTTATTCAATCAATGCAGTAACGCCAAATAGTCTGCAACTGCTATATACATACATCTGTTAAGATAGTTGACAAATTTTATGCTTTTCATTCTTGCCCTCCTTCGTGCACTTCCTTTTAATCCATAATTATTCAAACGTTATCCTGCGAATACATTTTTGATTGATTACGAATTAACGTGCCACCCACATTACACAAAACTTTTCTAAGCCAAAAATATCAAGCTAAGCAAAATCTATATGGAATATTTATGGCCCCAGCTACTCTAGATCGCATACTTTCACTTTTATGCCGTACAATATTGTGGCATAAATGTTTTCAGTCATTTCGGCTGCTGAAACCTTATTTGCGTTGCATAAACGGCATTCATGCTTTGTGCTTACGCGACCATGTCCAATATCAACTATCCAGCATACAAACATTTTAACTTCTTCAGTTCCTTCTGATGCTTTACTTTTGAACAAATTGTGTTTTAATGAACACGCCAGATACACTTTTTTATAACGTTTTTTTTTAATTTTTTACTTTTTACGCCTCAACAAATATAGCAACTATTTTCATTTGTAACTTTCGATCCTGAGTAGATATATCCAAGATGTTTCTAGCGAGATATTTGAATGAATGAAGAATGCTTGTCGATGCAAAAGAATTAAAGCGTAATAAAACCGTTGCGATACATGTTAACCTAAGATAACTACTATTTTCAACTACTATTTTTGATATGTTGTGAGAACTAGCATAGTTATATTTATGACAAGAAAATACAAATAGACGTTACTATTATACATTAAAATCCGTTCAATATGCAGAAAATCCATGTATAAGTCAAATCTAGCTGCTTGACTGTCAACTGTAGTTATAATTACGAAAACAATTGGACCCATCTATGAAAGTGCTCCTGAAGATTATCTGGATAGGAGTTTTTCGGAGATGCCTTCACAGTATCGAAGACCGTAGACGAATTTAAAAAAAAAATTGTCGTCATTTTGAGGGGTTTTATTAGTTTCTTCTATAAACATGGTCGTGTAGATGGGCAGGGCAGTCCCACATTTTATGTTAACGACATAAAACGTTATGTCTTATGTTAACAACATAAAATGTAACGTGGAATCTCTGTTGAACATAAAAACCTACAGGTAACGTCTGTTAAAAATATCATGTGGTGAGAATAGAGAGAGAGAGAGAGAAGTGTACAGTTGCCCGTCAAAATGCCACATTCCAGAAAAACCTCATTGTTTTCCTAATGCTGTAAATGTCTAATCAATTTTGTTCAATGGTCGCAGTCATCTCTTCCACTAGCGTACTTGTCACGATTTTTCAGCATTGGTAAAGTCTGTTTTTAACGGATTTTTTTCTTTGAAACGCAATTCCAATTAAAGTAACAATAAATAAACATATTCTAATTTAAGAATGTTTAACTTAAAATTATTTTCTAAATTGCATTTTACAGAGCAACAACGCAACCGGATTATTGCTATGCTCCCTAACCTCTTCAATTATAGCTATTAAAGCTGCTGAAGAAGACACTCATAAACTACTAATTATCTCATCTAAGGGCAATTTAGTGCAATTTCATGACGCTACCAGCGGCCAAATGTTGCGTACTTTGAATGTACCCGAATCTCTCAATATCTACAGTATCCTTTTACTCGATAATATTATCTATTGCGGCACACAGAAAAAGGAAATCTATAAATATGATTTTAAGGTATTTCTGTACACATGTTCAGTACCTAGTACTTTATAAAATATTTGTTATATTTTTCCTTAGACCGGTTCACATTTGGGTATTTTAACCAGCGGCAATGGTGCGGTTAGTATGCAAGTTTATGAAAACCGCTACATCTTTGTTGGTTGTTATGATGGCTTTATTTATATACTCGACAAAAGTACGGGCACCTTACGCGGTCATGTGCCAGGTTCGGGCAAAGTGGTTTTAACTTTGGAAATTGTAGGAAACAAAGTGAGTTGAATCTCAATCTCTATCGGAGGAAATCGAATTTTTCAAGAGAAGTAAATACTTTGCTTTCTTAGATTATTACATCTGCCAAGGACAATACGATGAAAGTGATTGATGTACCAAGTTACTGCTTGACAGCCCACAACCAGAAGCTGTAATTGTTCAGAATTTATGCTAAGAGAGCATTTAGTCACGATAACTGGAATTTGGGATTTCGTTTTGATTTTTTTTTTATTTACAAACACAGCATGTATTCAATAATTTAAATCAATTTGTTTTAAAAACTTGAATTTTCTGATATCACTTACACATAAATAAAATAGACTTCATTCGTTAAAAAAAAGTTTGTAATGTGTTCACACTGTGCTCCAGGTTGTATACAACATTTATACGCATTTGGAATCGTAGGTAAAATATATATATTCATTGAGCATCATATGTAAATTTTCTTTTATGGCCCGAAATGGGTTGGGCGAGCACTTAACTGCATTTGATGCAACTTCTGGTTTAATTTTTGATTGTGATCTTGAAGGTAAGCAATTAAATCCGCCTTATGGATAATAAAACCAGTTAAAGATTATTAGCTTCATAAAGGTTATTCATGTTATACCTGTTTTTCTAGCAGTTCAGCTAAGTTAGCTCCGGGTTGTATTAGTCCTAAAGAACCCGGCGAACTATTGTCACCTCTTAAAGCGTCAGGGGGTTGGGCTAGTTTATTAAAATTGGAAACACTTGCTGCAAAATTATTTTTACTTATTAGTGACTCATTTCTTAAAATCATTTTATGACTCACACATATACAATCCATGCACGATTGTTAAGATTGTTGTCTCTATTATATTAAAGGCAGCAAAACAAGAGTTTGGTGTAAACCATGAGTTCCATAGATTTACTTGACTATAATAGTGTATAATAGACTGTATCAACAACAGCACTGTATTCCAACCCGAGACAAGGTTAAGCGCAACACCGTTGTGCAAGGCCATACGACGATGAAATTCGTGATATCCGTTCATACGCAAACCATTGTGATGCTTTCGTATTAAATAATCAAAGAGCTATCAACGGTACAAAAGCAAAATGAAATATAACTGACCATGCATTACTTAAACGATGCAAAACCTACAAAAGTAATCAACCAAAATGCAGCGCGTAAACTCGCCATCACAAAGTAAGCTTCATTGTGCTTTTCTTCCGGCAATTGTACAGTCAAGATAATGCTAACAAGAGATATTGTACTCGAAATAGCCAGATGTATGCTAAAAGAAGCCGTTGATAAATGATTTGTCAATATTTTTCTTGCTTTGTTTACCTAAAAATTGGTATTGTTTTGAGTTTTTTAAATGAATCGTCTCGGGATGTTGCTAAAATTGGTTCTCTATCGCCGGCCAAGCTATTTGTAGCACTAGACGTAGCCATATTACCATCGTTAATTACTTCATCCATGTATTGCGCACCCTTGTGAAATTAATTCGCATAAATAAATAATGTACAGTAAGAACACTCTGAACTTACTCTTACTCTGTTCGCACTGAATCTGTTTGGTTGCAAACTAACCATTGTTTAATTGCGATATCTCTCGCAGATTTCTTTGTTTTCTGTTGTGATTCGCTTATTCTCACACTCTTCTATACACATCACATAAAGAATAAAAAAGCCAAAAATTGATATCTGCACAATTTTGTACAAAACAAAGCAAAGATTTTGTTTTTGTGAACAAATGTTTAAGTCCCTGAAGTTTTCAGTTGCATCATAACTGTAATATTTCATACCATTTTGTTCCAACTGACAGATTTTCGTGCAGCAACACCAGAAGCCGTAAAAGTGTTTTTTATATATATTACGTAACCTAATATGGATAAGATGGAATATTTCAGTGTCGTTCTTCAGTCAATTTGATCGAAATATTCATTTAAGTCCCGCGTTTAGCATATGTAGAACAAATAATTTTATTAAGTCTTCTAATGAGCTTATTCAATTTGCTTCAAAAAGAAATCTTTGCTTTATTTGACAAGTTTAGAAAATTTCAATTCCTTCTTTATTTCAAATATTGCGTGCAGCTCGTTTAGACTATAAACGTTCCAGAATGTAACCAAGCATAGAATCCGAAATGGCTTAATTTTTCCCTAATTCAAATTGAGATTTTTGTAACTTCATTCGCGCATGCAAAGCTGCAAAGTCATTATCTTGCCGGTTAAGATAATGAAGCTTCGCTTATATTCCCACGTCTGTGGCAGACATTCATTTTATAAGTTTTATGAATTGTACAAATCCATCTAGATCTTGTATATATATATAAATATAAATTTGTAAAGAGTAAATTTCATACAGTACGTTGCTTGGAGAAGCCATGCGCATATTAACACTATTGCTTATCTTACCAAAATGCTTGTGTTAAGCAAGATTGACTATGCTTTGATAATTTATGGCAATAGCTGCAAATCTAATATCAACATCCCTAAACCGGTCTATCACCAAGCCGTCAGAGCAAGTTGTTATGCTTTTCGGACGATGCCCATAAATAATATTATAATTGAAACTGGTCTCCCAACTTTAGAAAATAGACTGTATGAGTTAAAAGCTAAAATAGTCCCCAAGCTTCTTAATTGAAACAAATCCATTCTCGGTGATGATGTAAGAAAATTATTATTGCCAAGAAAATTCGAAAGTCACCATCTGCAAATGACCATTGTTTGTGCGTCGCAAAGGAATTGAGCATTCTATTAAAAATTTTCCGCTCTTTTGATGTTAAACCGCCCTGGATTTTGAAAGACTGCTCTTTTGACATCTCACTGTCTATGCACAAGAAAGAAGATACTCCAAATTACGTCTTCAGGAATCTAATAGCTGAAAAAACCCAAGTATTGGAGAGTACTGGTTGGAATCTTTTTTACACAAACGGCTCAAAATCTTCTGGTCTGCCTCCTGCTTGTGCGGTGGTAGATGCTGCAGGACGAGTTCTTGTCAACCACATATTTCACGAAAGTACTTCAACTTTCACAACCGAAGCCAGAGCTATCCTTCACGCTGCGAACTTTGCCCATAAAAACAAACTCAAACCCGTCATTGTTACCGACAGTTTGTCTTTCTTACAAGCTATTCGGAACCCTTCGACTTCGAGATCAACAAATTAAGGAATATAATTACTACACCCGACGGAAAAATTAAAATGTTATGGGTACCAAGTCACATCGGTTTACTGGGAAATAAGCAGGCTGATCGAGCAGCAAAGTATGCTGCTTCTGCTCCTCTAATTATGGATGATGTCATGGAAAAGTTGGATCTTCTAAGATACATTGGAAAAAAAGTTAAAGAGAAAATTGCAGAAGGAAATTTACAATACCATCATCAACACTACTCTTCCATTAACCCTCAATTAACTCCACCTTTATATCCAACAAATGTTGAGAAAACCAAGATCCAAACATTTTCGAGAATTCGCCTCAGTCATACAATTGCAACTCACCAATGGATCCTGAAGAAGTCTTCTTGCCCAATCTGCTGTTGTGGACAAACTCTTACTATAAAGCATATTCTCTGCGACTGCCTCAATTTTGCCTTGGCTAGAAGTATTGCATTTGGAACGATCAACCCTTTAAACATTCTACAATCAGCTTCAGAACAGAATATCAATTCAATATATTACTTTATTAATACTACTAAGCTCATTATCTAATGTACATTTATTTAAATTAGATCCGATAGCCTGTGTTGCTAGTGCTCAATGCATTTTTTTAGTCTAAGAATTTATTTCATTAGTCTAAAATTAAAATAATAATAATAATAATAAATTTGTAAAGAATATATATAAACAGTTATAAAAACATTATAAAGCAATTTATCTCACGTTTTATGAAAAATTTATAAACGTTCCCCCTATCGTGGAAGTATAAGCGAAGGTTCATTGTGCTGGCTGCCTATTAGTGTTAAACACAATAAAACCTAATTACATTTTTCTCTTTACGCCACTTTATGAAAGTACGCAACCAAGGGGATAACCACGTACCTGAAAGTTAGCTTACGTTTTAGGCTCGCTATTACGCGAAAGCTCACGATGGTACGTTTCGCACGTTGGTGTGTTTCGCATTAGTTGGTTATTCTGAGTTAGTATGGTTTGGTTAGAATGTGTTTATAAGAGAAAATAACTGTAAACATCTTGAATTCCAGACAAAGTTATTTTTGACTGAACCAAAGCGCAAAAATTTTAAATTCTTTAAAAGCAACTGAAATAATTTTTTTTTTTGCCTTTTACTCCAATTGTCTAATTGATTTAAACTAATGCACTTAATCAACCACAGCTATAATCAATGCTGTATCATTAATCTTTTCTATACACCGCTATATATTGACGCCATCATTTGTAAATCGTAAAGAGTCAACACTTGCAAAAGCTTAAAAGTGCAATGGATATGTTCATCTCACCGTCAACAAACATAATCCATTTTTTTAGCACACAAAAGGTGTAATATTTTAGGTAAATTCATCTGAACATTTTCTGCTCGCAATTATAAATGCATAGACCACGCTGCAAATCATTCATTCAGAATCCAGCAGTGGAAAGTCAAATTCTTACAAGTCAAATTTTTACAATATTTTAAAAGACTCTTAAATGTCAAAATAGGTTTGGTATTACATTTCTTTTGCAAGGCACAGTAAAGAAGGAGGAGAAAAGTTTATTTTAATTAAACTTTTTGTAGTGCGTTAAATGATCTATCAGAAAATACATCCACTTGGGTTATCTGCGGTAGCCATAGACCAGCGTTCATATTGATACAGCATGAATTGTGTTCGCTCTTTAAAGATTTTAGTCACTGTAGCCATGAAATGCTACAAATTAGATTTTGTTGCCATAGAAAGACTTACTTTTCAATAGGAAGCGGGTTCTAAAAAAGAGAATTATGTAATCCAAAGTACTATTACGGCCCAATTTTCATTATAATTCTCTAAATATTTCTTTCTGCCATATAAGGGCGTATTTTTCGTGACAATCCTTGTGGGCGCGTCCGAGAAAACAGGTATATGTTCGCTGCATTTTCTGATTAAAAACCTATATATAAAGTTATAAAGATTTCGACTCCCTTATGCCGAATTTTTTAAAAATCAAAAACTCATCAAACATTTATAAAAACAAACAGTACACTAATAGATTCTACTAAGTGCAATTCACGCAATAACTTGCAGATTTCCAAATGACCCGACGCAGCGGTCCGATGTAAAAAAGAAATATATTGCATCGATTTTAAGCAAAAAATTTTTCTTCAATCATCGACACAATAGGTTAAAAAAATTTAAAAAAGTATTGTGAAGCTGTAGCTGAGAGGTGAACCCGGTCGTTAGAGAGTAGCAGGTGCCAAAATGCCGACCAGCTTGCACACCATAATTTCAATAAGATTACCATCACGTTTAGCGTAATGTAATGGCCTAACTGATATTTTGATTCAATCTATTCTAAGACTGATTTTAGTCTTCGAGACAATTTTTGTAGATTTTGCTATACATAGACAGCAGGAACACATGGCTAAATTGATTCCTCTACCCAGCAATGCGATAGTGCGTAGTAGGGTCTCATCGCCCCGGATTATCTAAATGGATAACTTTCTTTTCTCTCATTTGCCTTGGCAGCAACGTAATTAAATTCTACCCTTATATCACACTAAACCGCGATAATAGAAGAAAACGTAGTCTTACTCTTTTTGATCACAGCATTCTCTACAAGGTTCCCGATACGCATTCACATGAGTTATAAACATTTATCAGAACTTCTATACTTTGTGCGATGTGTTGGGAAATAACTTACTTTTGATTCTAATATCGATTGTAATTCTTGACAACGTCCTTTCTGATTATTGGCTGACACAGCCAGCTGACAGATGGTATCCGAAAGGCATTTGTTGTTGGAGGCAGTCGACAAAGTCACTTTGAATGACCAAAACTAAATTTAGAGAAAACTTTTTCTTTAACACAACACTCCTGACGGCAATAATAGAAAAAGTTCACACACTTTACGCAAAAGATCCGGATTTTCGGCCATAAAGTTTAACCATTGATCGGTACCCGCCGGACTTAACTCGTTAGTAAAATCTGAAAAATCATATTCTTTAAACCAACGCGGAGTACCCAAGTCACCTTGTTCTTTGGCTTCTGTTAGATTGAAAATCCAAGTTTCGTGATCAACAACTTGCTATAAAAAATTCGAACTAAAAAATAAAAACAAAAAAAAAAAAAATTGAAATTAAATTGAAAGCAAAGGAAGAAAAAAATATTGTGTAAACATACGAAGGTTTAAGGTTCGCTATTTTAACAAAGTGTTTACAACTGTTTAAGACTGTATAAGATTGTTTAAGACTGTTTACGTAAACCTCTCTATCCTCCATACGCCTCTCGAGTTGCTATTTTATATATATTGGCGTCTCCGTACTTTAAGTATTGCAAATAATTTCTAGTCAAGCGATATGCAACGATTATATTCAATTGGCGGATTAAATGCATACAATGTACGTATTCACTAATCCAAGGTGCCACAATGTCCATTTTCCTTCAGATGGATTTATACATTATTTACAGTATGAATGTCGTGAAATCCAACGTGTATTATTATAGGAAGAGTATTGGTTATCGAGTTTGTTTGCTCTACGTGCGCAGAAAAGATGCGAGAAATTTCTCTTAAGCAGCAGGAAGAAGAAGCTAAATTATTCACTGGC